TTCACAAAGGCATTCTAGAAGGAAGCCATCTTCCTCGAGACTCTTGCGAGATTCACGCGGATTTATTCACATTTATTCCTACAAAAAGATCAGCATCGAAAAAACGCGGACGATCGCAAAGAAGCGAAACGAAAGGCTTCTCGACCCTCGGCGGTCGCGATCGCGATCGCGGTCGCGGTCGCTCCTTCACAACTCGGAGTCGATGACGTTCTCGTTGCCTTTGTTGTCGGCTTGGGTTCCCGCATTTCCCTTTCTCGACGAATCGGAAAAATATTTACGAGCCGAAACGTCGCTACTTTGTTGTAAACACGCTCACTCCGAACGGTCGACGTAACGAACGACGTTCGAACGACCTCATCGCGTCTCCATTCTCCCGAGACTTCGAACGTCGGCCCCACCGCTCCCGTCACGACTGACGGAAAACCGCCAGAACCCCTCGAGAACCGTCTCCAAGGTACGTGAGCCAAGGTACAAGGTACCACAAGGTACCACAAGGTACCACGCCGAATGGCGCGACGGACGCCCACGACGCCGCACCGAGAGAATTCCGATCGGTCGGCTGTCATCGTCTGACTGGAGGGGATGCGATCGCACTTCACGGTCTTCCCTTCCCTATTCCCCCAAGAGACATCTAGCGGAGGTTAAGTGAAGCTGCGAAGGAGTCCGGTCGAGTCCGGTCGAGTCCAGTCGAGTCCGGTTCTTCCTGGTTCCTTTTTTTTTTTTGGCTCTCGAAGTTCTCAGGGGGAAATTGCGAACTGAACTGTTCAGTTCCATTCCAGTTCAGTTCTTCGGCGAGTCTCCGTTGTTAAGCTGGATTTTAGCTCCGAAGAAAGACGAGTCTGTTTTGTTACAGGCATTCTGCTTCATGATGCATGGGACACGGTGACCGAAATCCTTGACATCGGCATACGCATCACAAAGCTCGGTAATAAATGCCCGCAAGCTTCGATAATAATAATAAAAATTTCCGCGTATCGTTTCTCAACTTTGGAAACAAAAGCCTATTTTTTTTAATCGCAACAAACGACGAGTTCTCGTAAACCCTCGACGAAAACCCTCAGCCTCGGAACGGCCGCACGATCGAGCAAATCGGCCCAAGCAATCACCCAATTAACGGTGCTAATGAGAAAGGGGGATCGATTCGAAACGTAAAGGCTTGCGATTATCTCGTCGTCCAACCTCTTCATGCTCTTCTCCGTCATAGTCCTTATCTTTCCTTTGTCTCTCTTATCTCTCATGCCGGTGATTACAGAGTGACGACGTCCCATCAAACCTTCCAGTGGAAATATCGATCGTGCATGCTTCCGCAGCCCCCCCCCTGCCCCCCTTGCCCCTCTTGCCCCCCCTCCCCCCTGCCTTTGGGCGAGGTTGTGGAATGACGCGATCCGATGGCTCATCACGACGGGAAAAAATCAAGGATAACATGAAAGGACTGGCTTCATCAATCAGATAATGAGAGCTGAATGTTCTAGAGACGGGCGAAAAAGTGGGAGAAAAATCACATGGAACTCCTTCGGCGGCTGCACGAGAAAAATGCGGAACGATTCGGGACGAAAAAGGTTCGTCGGATTCTTTCGATCGCGTCCCGGAAAGGACAAGGCGACGTAGACGCAGAAATAAATAAAAAAGGAAATGGAAGTGAAGATTATTTTTAAGGGAGCGAAGCCAACAGGGGTGAGAAATGGCGATTCTGCCGGTATTCCACGAGATTATGAGATAAGATTACGAAGAGAATGACGAGTTGTCGGGAGAAAATGAAAATTCCGTGAAGACCAATGCGGATTCTTCTCGAAGAAAAACAAGCCTCTTTTTTTCTGGTGGAAATGGTAGTTGAATATGCATGAGAATATTTTCCGATTTGATTTCACTCTATATTCCATAAGCTGCGAATTGAAAAACAAGGAAAGACGGGATCGAAGTCGTGTGGGAGCCAACCGATCGCGACGGATCCCGCGAAGTAGTCGAGAGGAATGACGAAGACGGTCGAGTGCGGCGCTCAGTTCTCTTCCGAAGCGATTCGAAGGTTGGACGAGGCTGGGGGGTGTCGTTGGCAGTCGGTGAGTGTCGGGATTGGAGGTTCGAGGATGAATGTCGACTTTGACTGCAAGAGCGGTGGTGATGAGGAATTACCTTGGGTAGTTCGGATAAATATTACCGGGTGACGATGGATGTGCATCAGTGCCGTATATTGGCTGAAGAGTCAGAGGGGCAGGGCAGCAGAGCGGGGACGCCGAACTCCACTCGAGCGATATCAGGGAGAAAATAATTACCTTCAAGGGGGCAGGCGCCAAGCTCTATTCCGGGGATGCAAGGGGGGCGGGGGGCGGCCCCCCCCCCCCCCCCCCCCCCCCCCCCCCCCACACCCCAGGGGCGGAAGGGGGGGGGGGGGGCGGCCCCCCCCCCCCCCCCCATAAAATACGCCGCTGATGTGCATGCAAGCGCAAATTGTGGGCAAGATAACGGAAGAGCATTCTTTTACGAGCCGGAGAATTCCTATCTAAAAAATTTCTCGGAAGTCCTTATCTGACCCTTTGGAATTGATATATTTCTCATTGTCTCGCGGAGGTGCCGAGAAGTGCGTCGAAGTTGCCTGACTTCGCTCTGAGTCGTCTGCTGATTCGCGTGCTGACTGAGTGTGTACCGAGAATTAGAGAAGGAATGTGCTAAGCGGAATTCAGCCTTTGAATGCGGTCGTGACTAGAGGTTTTCAATACGCAGCCCGGAGGTATTCAAGGAAAAGACTAGATAAAGAACAAAAAAAACTCTTTGAATGTCTGATGTGTGTTTAGATACGCGGAGCTGTGCGGGAATGGAAAATAGAGTTGATCTGGGGTTATGAAATCCAGTGTCCCAAGGCGAACCTTTTCGGGTTCTTGGGCATAAATTTGGGTAGAGTATGATCCTATCAGCTTAAATTTTCTAACTGATGCGTTTTGTAATGTCTGCAATTGTAATGTCTGTTTACATGCCATGCAGGTGTGATTCTAATCTTTGGGTCCACCTGTGTTTCGCCGTAACGCGTTTCATGTGTAGTGGGGGAATACCTTTTGAATTATTGGTGCTGCTCTTTCGACGAAGAGGCAAGAGACCTCTTTCAGGTCAGCTGCTTCCTGGAAGCAGGCCATACATGGGAAGGAGGAGGAGGAGAAGGAGGGGGGGGGGAAGCGAGAGGGAAGGGTGGAATCAATCGAAAACGCCAGGGGAAGAAATGCACAGTGCAGGTGCAAGAGAGGGAGAGTTTATTTTTCCACGCGGAACATTAGCGCACGTGAGGGTAAATGAAGTGGTTCATACCAGATGGCGTTTCGTCACCGTTGTTGTGCCATGGCACCCTTCGTCTTCCGAGAAATCGTCTCTCATGTCTTTTCGTGACTAAGGCTTTTGTCCTATTTCGTGATGTCTGAATGATCAACGGGTTTCTTGCAGGTAAAACGTTAGCTCATGTATAGGCATAGGCCTAACATAGTCTATGATCTTGTAAGCCTAATTGTAGGTCTCGCACTGCCTACGGTAGTCAGTAAAATAGGAGGGACTTCATTAGCCTAAGATTGTAGCTACTTCTGAATCGACTTTGTGGGCCTTGGCCTACCCCTTCGCAAACTTTTCAATTGGTGCATTTTATCAATCAGACAAGATAGGCCTAAACTACGAAATCATTTCGCATACCTTGCGGAAGGCTCATGAAAGGCTTTAGCTTACTTCATAAGTACATGTGTGGCTTGGTAGGCCATGTTTGACAGACACGCTTCCAGTATAAAGTTGCTGTCGTTGGCTTTCCATTTTGCCAAGCATTGATTAAGTATGAAAGTATGGGTTAGGCCTAATGTCCCCAATACTGTAGTTGCCCCTACATTCCATATTCAGCCTTTTTCCTCTATATTCTCTAGTAGCATATAACATTGAAACAACATTGATTCAATGTTATATGCTACTAGGGTTATGAAGATGGAACTTTATTACAATTATGACTAAAGACGTACACATGTGGGGTATAATACCCCACATGTGACATGTATAACATGGCTGTTATTCTGTGCACATTCATATGTACAGTGCAGCTGCTTTTTTTTTTAATTACATCCAGGGGTGAGTGCTTCCAATAGCCTTAATACTCCATCACAAAGAAAAAAAACTGGTGAAGGGGCAGCGAACAGGATGATCCCTTCCATCTTTCCTCAATTGCCCTATTGAAACTCCTACATGAGTTGTGTATTATATCCTAAAATCAAGGGGAACTAGAGACCCCCAACCATAAGAAAGTTGTTGTGGTCTGTGTGCAGAATTTTGAGCAGTGAATGAGGAAAGAGAAGGCAAAATCCACCCAAATTTGGGGAGAGTGCTCTATTATTTTCCAGAGGTTACACAAGTTAAATATTCAGGTCTCACTCATTCTTGTATAAAATAAGCCATGCAGCCCTGATGTTTTTTTTATTTTTTATTGATGAAGAAGTCAAGTTGTCATCAGGAGGTTTCTTGAATGATTTGTTTGTCATATTTTAACTGTGTCAAATTGCATTTAAAAGTGGCAAAGATATGATTATAAGTGTAAATTATTATTTTCCTCAATTTTTATGTCACCACATTAACCCCTATTTCATGGTATCTTTCATCATCCTTTCAATCCTTGGCTTCACCATACTCAATATGATTAGTGATTATCTAGGCCAAAGCAGAACAAATTTCATGAAACAAAACTTGACGGCTGATGAATAAAATCAAAGTTATATAAAAATAACATTGTAGTGGCCAAGGGCAAAGCATGCTGGGAAACAATTGAGCCTCATTTAGATCAGTATAGGAAGCACATGCAACAAGGCGAAATGGTCCCACCTTCATGTCAGTGATTTTGAGTGATACCTTGCATTATGAGCATGGCAGCCTCTTAGGCCCCATGGGCTAATTGATGGAGAAACATGAGGTGTTAATGGCTGCTTTGGGCATATGGCAACTGCCCTGTTGGGGATATTAGCATTTTAAAAGTTGCTGTTGGTTTCTATTTTTCTCTTCTTGACTCTTGAACTAGAAACTTGTCCCAAGTGATGCTTTGGTGGAAAAGGAAATGATTTTGGACTGAAGGTACAAGTTTTCAAGTTTATGTATGTATGAATCAGAGTAGTTACTCTGTTGCCTGCATCAGGGTGTAATAGTGGACTTTGGTAAGTGAGGATGGTGATGGAAGTCGTCTATCAAGGTTGGTTAGTCAAGTCACCACCACCTCCAAAGACCAGAGTCTTCAAGGCTGTAAGTTTATTGCTTGCAAGCGAAAGCACGGCACCTGTTTTTTTTAATGTTTAAATAAATTGTCTTCATTCATTTTCTTAATTCCTGTTCATAGAAATGGAGAAGGAGATGGTTTGTTTTGCGTCAGTCTGGAGCACTGCCTGGCCAGTATGTTCTGGAGTATTTCACTGATGAAACTTGCAAGAAAATTAAGGGCCATATTGATTTGGATCAGTGTGAGCAAGTGAGTTTACCATTTTCTGTACTAAGATTCAGATTGTGGTGGAGGCTTTAGTGACTGTCTTCATGGAGGACTATGGCGATAGCTTTTTTTAATTTTGCAACTGTGCTGTGATGAGATAATGTCTGGTACTATTCATAATTGTATGCCTAAGTTTCTCTTGTTCTGAATTCAGTGGACCTTGAGATCTTGATGAACAAACAATATATCTGCTGGTAATGTTATCCTATCTGTTGACAAGCATGGGGATCATCTGCTTGCAGTGATCTGATTTCTGATTAAAAATACGTATTCCATTAATTTAATATGTAATCTTGACTTTAAGGTATTTTGAATTGATTGCAGTTACATTCATTTTAATGCTGTTGGATCATCTAGTATTTGTGCATCAGGCTCTTTGTTTTACCAGTTGATGATAGGATTTGTATTTAGGCCTGATGAACCATTTTCTATTAGTGTGAGACCAATGTGCGACAGGTTCAAGGCTTATAAAGGTTCCTACACCCTAGCGATCCAGTTAATCCTCCCTTCAGTCTAAACTTAATGTCATTGGTACTCTTGTATTGGATAACTTGAATATAAAATTGTTGTATACAGATTGATAGGTCATTGGTAGCTGGAAACATATTTGATTGGTTGTACTCAAATTGTGGCTTATTAGGTGTCTTCATATCCAACCAAGCATTTTCAGGAAGTTGGCATTTTATATTCTCAAAAAAGCTGGTGAATCAGATTTACATATGGTGGTAAATTATAATCTGAACCCTACTGCCTTGCTGTAGTTATGCTTTTGCTGAGTCATGATTCATATTGTAATACTTTATTGGACTGATAACTCTGGTGTAGTTCCATTCTGTTTTATCTATTGTCAGTATTTTTGGTCTAAGAATCTAATTATTCACAACCTAGGTCTGGTTTTCTGCATTGTGTGATTACATGCATTGTTAAATCATAATGCTGAATAGTTGAGGCTTAACAGCCACACTGCATTTTTTTTTTACAGCAGAATTTTTCTACCAAATAAATGCATTTTTAAATTGCCATAATTGTGAGGTTTACAATTTGTGCAGACAAAGGCTTGTAAGGAAGAAACTAAGGGGGAAAAGTTGTAAGCAAGCAGAGTTATCGAGTTGGAACTGTAAGGTGTGGGGGAAACAAAAAAAAAAACAGGTTTAGAACTAATAGTTAGGAAAAGAAACTGGTAGTGTGTGTTGAAAATGCCAAGTGCCCTCATTTTTTTATTAATCCAAATTTGGAATACTTTCAACTAATCCCTTCAACATGGTACAGGGGGTGAAAGAGAATTGAGGTGGAAATTAAGCAGCTGGAGAGATAATATCACCTGACAGGGATGAACCAGGTCTCTCACTATGTATTTCTTTTGTATCCAGTCATTATTTCATGGAGAAATTAATAGAGAAGAAAAGAAAGAAAATATTGACCAGCCAATTTATTTATTTATTTTTAGCTATTAAAAAAAAATTTTTTGTTTTCATTGACAGTGTAAGTTAAGGCTGTGAAATAAAGGAATGACTGGCTCCTATCTTCTTCCCTCCCTCACATAACTCAATTTTTTTCCTCATCTCCATGTCACATTGTACTCCTAGAGAAAATATGGGAAAGGGAAATTGACAGGAAGTGTCATTGCTGATATGAGAGAGAGGGTGAGATAATCAATGAAAATAAATTCAGGATTGGTTGCTTTTTTGTTTTGGATTGCTGATTTTGCTGCTTCTACTGCTGACTTTCATTGTATCTCATGAGACAGGACTGTTTTTTTTGTTGTTTTTTTCAGAATTTACTTTGAGCCCTTATTTTAATATAAATAGGATTAAGTATTGCTAGGCTTATGTGTACTGCACAGTCCACACTTGTGTATCATGGTTTCAATTGGTTGTTTCAAGCCTTTTTATTTGAACCATTTATCACCAGACAATATGAAGTATCTAGGAAAATATTACGAAGGTTGAAAACTCTGATAGAACTCACTCTTTCTTCCTCTCTGTCATGTAATCAACAGGATGGACATCCTGTCCTGTATTCCTTCCTATCTTCTCCATAGAAGAATGTTGAAGAGAGAAAATTTAGTGACAATGCATAGGGAAGATGGTGACAGCCATTCCATCACACTGTAGCCTCAATTTTAATTTAAAAAAATGCCTTAATTAGAGCATACATTTTACCTTATGAATATGAAAATATAAATGCACAAGATTGTTCACAGTTTATGGTAAGAATTTCATTACTGCCTTCCCATGTAGTCTTCAATTCTTGTCCACATGGTTGGAAATATTTATTCTTCCTTTTTGACAGTGCCATCATTGCCCTTCTAGCTTTTTTTCCCTGGGTTGATGGTTGCATCACAGCCAGGTCTTTAAAAAATAAGGATACAGCTGTTCCATAATAAGATACTGCAAAGCCAATGAGTTCATTTTCTCTTAAAAGGACATCAGTAATGCTTAAAAAGTTCCAACAAAACTTGCCTGGCTCTGGCGAGAGGAATTTTAGTAGTGTCCAAATCCTGAAGCATACAAAGACAATCAAAAAGAGTCCATCAAGTGGCAGCACAGGAAAATCCTCCTATCCAGAGGGCCATGTCAGAGAATTGTGTCATCTCTCAGGGAACCACCAATAATGTTGTTCACCATGATCCAAAACTAGAGAAGCCTAAATTTGGGGTCTATGACATCCTCTTTGTTTATGGAAAAAAAGGACCAATTTCTGGCAACTGTATAAATGTGATACTGATTGGGAAGATATGAAAATATACAATATTGTCACTTAGTTAAAGAGTGGCCATACCTCGATGCACAAAATCCAGGCTATTTATTAACAAACCAAAAGAGATGAAAGTTTCTCCAAGTGGGGTATGCAGTGCAAAGGGGTTTTTCAGTTTTTTTTTTTCTGGTTACAGCTACTAAGGATAATTTACTTCTAGGATGGTTGCTGGGAAAGTGAAGGTGGACTCAGTAATATTAGGAACAAGTTGTAATGCCCATCTTCAAAAAATGTAGTTCTTCTTTATACAGAATAGAACTCAATAAAGGTCAAAGGAGCAGACAAGAATTCAGACCATTCATTTAGATAACCCAATGCCTTCAGGTGCTTGGAAAAAGCACAAGGGCATAGACATATGTACTTTCTTGATGGATTTAGCTCTTAACCTTGCCATTATCAGAAACCTCAATTGAGCACAACCAATCTGGAAGCACCAGTTATAAATAAACTCAAGGGTACTTTAGTGACTCTCTGGAATGCAAACAACACTCCATAGGCATACAATGTCATAAATTATTACATCTGGATTTTAAAAATTGGAACACTTACCTTTGCTCTATTGGTATAGAGCATTTCCTGTTTTGAAAAAATGACATACATAGAAACACAGCTATTGAAAGACTCATAATTGCAATGTTGTTCCTGTAATGATGAAGGAGCAATGATCTGGATGCAACTTGAAGACGCTTACCAGTCAGGGAGTTTCATGAGGAAACAAGTGCTGTATCAACTCAATTCCAGATTTTACCTAATTCTCTCTCTGAAAAATTAAGTTCAGTGGTTGATCCGCCTTCTTTGTTTATCATTGCAGGTGGATGCAGGGCTGACGTTTGGAAAGTACAAATTCATGTTTGATATCTACACTCCTCAGCGAGTATATTACTTGGCTGCAAGCTCAGAGAATGAAATGAGCCGATGGGTGGAGTGCCTATGCAAGGTGTGTGGCCTCAGGGCTTCACAGGATGAAGAGTGTAAGCATTCTTGTCTGTCGTGCTCATTTTTGTTGTGATTTGAAAAATAATTTTTTTCCTTTTTCTTCTTGTAGTTTTTAGGAATGGTCCTTCCATCAGCAGTGGTGAAGTATGGATGAGTGCAAATGGAAACATGCTACCTCCAGGCACTCCAACATCCCCTTCAAGCCCATTGGACATGCCATTCTATGGCCCCTACATACCCATCAGTGAATGCGTGACTGGCAAAGTGCCTATTGAGGAACCATCCATGATCCTTTCCCCATCTCAGGAATTAGCCAGAACTCCCCTCTCCTCCACTCATCACCGGGATCTCCCTTCGCGGATGAGAGACCTCTCATCATCTAAACCAATTCCCTCTGTCAACTGGGACACTTACCCTGATGAACTGGTCCAATCCCTTGCTGCAGAGAGTAGGCTAGGTGACTTGAATGTGTCTGAATCACAACATGACCAGTCTTCATCATCCCTTGTGTCTGGGACTTCAACAGCTTCTCACCGACAAAATGATCAAGAAGCTGAGGATGGGAATGGTGCCAGTGTAGAACCAATGCTACAGCTGACATTGGCATCCCATGTGAAAAATCCTTCACCTCAAGTATTCCTCTATGAATTCTCAAAGTCTGATGAATCCCAAAATCAGAAGAGGGAGCGGTTTTTGAGGGATGGGCCTCCTTCAGTGAATAGAAACTTGAAACCACCTGCAAGGAAACATGCAGAGTCGGGAGGGAGTCCAATGACACCAACTGAAGCAAGCCCTGGCATTGTAGGACAGCCTCCTCCAAGAGTTGATCGCTCGTTGAAACCTCAGAGGAACCCTAGCTCCTCGAGCCACAAGCAAGGTAGGCCTACCCTGACTGTGCATATTGGCTTTGGACTTCCTATCAATCATCCATAATTTTGATGAATAACATATCAGACACCTTAGGCAACACTGCACCTAGGTCAGAATCACTGCTTAAAGTGGCTGTCATAATTGAGGTGGACATTGCAAACATTTATTTGTCCAGCACCTAATCCAACCTATGGATGCCTGACATCATCCGTATAGGTGATGGACCTATGATCTTGCTCCACATGGTGCAGTGATATGATCCCTAGGTGTTGAGATACATGTCTCTGAACCAATTTATTGGTCATTTTGTAATTAGCACTGGATTTAAGTTTTAACCATCAAAATTGAAGTTTTCAGCTTATTTGCCATAGATTCCTATAGTTATGAATTCTTGGTAATCTTAACCCTTTCAGCACTTTTTTTTTTGTTTCTAAAATCACAATTTCTCTGTTAACCCATTCAGGCATCAGGCTGGCTGACAGACCTATTGGTGTCTGAATGGGTTAAAGGGTTATGTTTTGCTGTCCTTCACCCTCAGTTGTTCATACTCTGATAAGTATGCTCCCCCTTCTTATTTGGTCTAATTTTAATCAAGGCTGTCATGATGGCAGCTTTGAAAATGAAAGAATTGATGTATCAACCTGAACCATCAATGTTGCCTCAATGGATTGGCAAAAATTTACACTGAATCATGGAGAAGGAAGAATGAATAAGCATTTCAAAAGATACATCAGAAATAGTGTAGAATCCTGCATGATCTGTAACCTTACTTCTGGAGGGAATGGAAGCCATTCTGAAGATGCTGGATAACCAGCATCTTCAGAATGGCTTCCATCACTCATTGTTTGTGTCCATCTTCTCCCCCCCTCCCCTGTGGGATTCCCTCGTCACTTATATATCGTATGTGCATCCATAAATTTTGATTCTGGAACTTCGCTTCTCAAATGCTTTGTGCGTGTGCATGCAAAATCCATAGATGGTGACATCATGACAGCCCTAATTTTAATATTCTTAGCCCAGTAGCACAAACATAATCTTGGTTATGGTTGATCATACCTTTCCACATTGAGATTCAGTTGAGGTCTAGCCCAGTTTACATGAGAGACCTAACAAAAGCTAGAAAAGGCATGAATTCATGCCTTCTATATTCCATTTGTTACTTTTTCAATTGTCACGTTTCCTTATCTATGTGGTGACCTGCTGGATTCTCATCGGATACAAAAGTAGATTAGAAATAACTTGTTGATATCTTGTGCTTTGTCTGATGCTTCTGTGGAGAGTATGAGATACCCTGACTGTACTGATTTTTTGTGCATTTCACGTTAGAGTTCAAGTTGGGTCCCCCTCCCCCTGGAAGAGGTCAATGGCAGAAGACACCCAGAGCTGCTCCATCTCCATCTCCTCCAAGTATGCTGACCCATTCTGCTGCCACATTGCCAAGGATGCGACGCTTCAGCACAGATTCAGATGATGGTCCTATGACCATTCCCTCTTCTCGCAACCAAGATGATGAGCAGGTGTGCTTTCCCTCCATCATTTCTGTCAATGTTCTTGTGATTCTGTTCTAGATGGATGTCTCTCTTTTTTCCAGATTTTCTACTACTGTCAAGGTGGAAGGTTCATCCCATCTCCCAGGGGGAGAAGGGAGCAATCTCCTGCTTCTTCATCTTGGGGGAGGCAGCAGGAGATTCAGTATCTTGATCTAGATCTGGAGAATATGGCAACAACACCCAAACCTCCAGAGAAATCACCTATCTCTACCACTGTATACAAGACAGTGGATTTCTTGAAGACAGAAGCCTTCAACAAGACCCGAGAGGATGTTGAAGCATCCTACCGAAAGGAACAGGAGAGTGTTCTATCTGGTTGAATCAGGAAGAAAGAGCAACTTCCTCTTCCATGCTGTGATTTCTCTCAATGGAGGTACCATCAATGTATGCCTGCAGCATGCCATCTCATTCATTGATGGAATGATTGGCTGATGCAGTTGGTCATTTGAATCCCTTTCTTCCAAGCCTAATTGTGTCTAGTTGCCATACTCTTACCTTATTGCCATATTATAGATGCTCAGTGAACATCTCAATTAGCAATGGGACAAAGAAAAACTTTGGTCAGGGAAAAAAATTATGTTCAATGCAGATGATCGGATTTTTTTAGACTCCATGACAATTGCACTTCCACCTAAACTAAACCTAACTGAGTAGGTGTTTCAGTATTCTTTAGGTGGGGTAGATGATTCAAAATGTGGGAGTTTCCCTTGAGTGAAAATGAAAAATCTTTAAAATAATGTCTTTGAAACTCCTTTGAAATTTTGAGGTTTTCTCCATGTGCACTGCAGCAGAGATCTCATATCACTTGATTATGTGTCTTTTGCCTCTATTCCAGTAAGTTTTACTGGTAATTGTATGCCAAACTTCTTTGCATAGAAAGGTTCTTTCTGTCTGTCATTCCATAGAACAAACTATGCTACATTCTGCCCCATCAAACTGACTCATCTCAACCTATTCCTACCATTGTTTTCATACTATGCCAAGAAAAACAAGTTGTCTTTCATGAAGTATCCTTGTTCAATTTGTGCTTACGGAACTTCTTTCTTGGCCTGTTATACTACTTAAGATGATAATGTTTTAAAGAATTTCACATTGTTCTTTGTTTTTAGTTTTCATGGAATGCTGCATATTCCCATTGAGGGTGAATGTATAGATTTTATCTAAAAGTTGAAATCGATTCACCATATGAGAAAGCATCTGCTATCAGAAAGGTATTTCATGGTACCCGACCAATTGTTTCTGAGATAGGTTTTTGAAGTTTCACTTCCAAATTTGCTATGATTCTGTGAGAAGAGATTCCCATTACCTACAGTGCCATTGCCTTGTCACATGTGAACAGAACTATAAGTTCAAATTTGGTCGATATGAGTGAATGGCACTGCTATATTGCTCATCACAGGTTGACTTTTCTCCACACCTTTTTCCTGCTACCTCTTCTGTTTTTATAGAGCCATAGCCTGATCAGAGTAAGCTAAGTTCTGGCATAAAGAATAATTCTGCTTCAAGAAACTTCAAATTTATCTTCAGAATGGATAATTCCTGTTACACCACATGAACGAAACAAAATGTTGTGTACAATGGTCGCATGTCTCTTGAGTATGCTATAGGGCTGACTAAGGGTCATTGATATCTCTTGCGAGTGTCAGCTGTCAAAGGCTTTATCTTCTCCCCTTAAAAGAGGGACCTAGGACTTGGTATAGATTCACTAGAAAAGATCATCAGCAGAAAGCCATGAGGATTTTCCCAGAGAAGTCTGTGGGAAAAATAGAAAAACTTAGGTTCTGTCAACAAAGGAGCACTTGCTTATTCATCGACTTAAATAGGGAAAACTTCCTCGGGTTATAAGATTTCAACATTGTGTGAACATTTTTTGTTAGTGCAAGTTCTTTTCTCAAGTAACCATATGTAATGAAGTGCTGTTGGTACGAGAATTTATGACTCAGCTCCCCCTTAATGAATAGACTCTCCCATTTGGAAATGAGCAAAGTAAATATCTCTATTGAAAGAAATAACTTCAGAATTGAGTTTAAAACAATAAAAAATTGTACTTTTTAAAAAACAAATTGAAGAGTTACATATGATTGCATTCTCTTCCTCTGGTGGAAACCTGTTCACATAAAGATCAGAGTCCAAAATTCTGCATTTTGTGTTTGAGATTAAGTTATTCATTAGAAGGGGTTTCTACAGGTTGTGGGAGAGATTTCAAATCCATATGCATCATAACTGTAAAGAGTCCTAAAAATTCTGCAAAAAAAAAAAGTTTTGTCCCAAGCTTTAGTATGCCAGACTGTTTGTGCCACATCAGACATTTATCTTCACTATTCTTTTGAAGCGATGTCTTGTCCGTCCCTCTGTGTCCATTTCTCAAGAAACTTCTTTTCAGAGTTTCATGTTTTTTGGCAGTTGGATGAGACTCAAAAAGGTTGCTGGACTTTCTAGTTAAATCTCACCCATGAGATGATTGAGAACGGTATTACAAACTATTGTGCATCTAGTCGAAAGTGCCGAAGTGAGGGAAACAAGTGGAGTATTGCCATTCCTTTTTTCATTGTCTCCTCCAATTTTTGCCTTTTGCAATCGCAAGACTGATTCCTCGGGACCTAAGACTAATGCATTTTTCTTCCACGACAATCATATGCATGCTGTGTGTACTTATGGTGACCACTGTGAAATGAGTGCTTCTCTGTGGGCTTTCATGTTTTTTTTCTCCTACTTATTTATCCCTGAAATGGGACATTCAAAGATTATCGCATCGTGTCTTTCTTGTTGTGTTTCCTAGCATTCCTCTCCTATTCTCTTGCATCTCGGTTGGCTTTAACTATTGCCAATTGGTAACTTTCCATGAGTTTTTGTGATTTGGGCAATGCTTCATTTAGCTTGCATGCTTCCTCAATTTGACTTCCTCTGTACGACCAAGCTTGGTGCTACAAGTTGCGATTTAGATGTTCCATATACAACGATTTCCTTTCTTCCATTTCATGTGTACTTCCATGCTACCTGCATTTTCTTTTGTTAAGGAATAAAACAGTGAGATGACATGAGCAACCTTAATATGTGCCTTTTTTCTTTTACATATGTTGTGTACCCTTCAATTGTTGGTTTTGGTACGTATTGTATCATTGATCCCAATACCATCTCCGATTTGCCACCTGAGCAGAGTCGTTCCCTGACGCGCCTCCAGAGAAAATTACGTTTATTAATTTCTTAACTCAGCCGATTTCGTTTGAGTTCAATTTTTCTGAAGATGACATCCAAGATGGATAAGGAAGGAAGAATCCTGCCGATTAAAAAAAAAGTTACGTTTTGCTTCAGAGTCAAGAACTTTTAGAAGTTTATGAGTCGAGAATCGAAAATGACAGGCAGAGCACTCCATTTCCTCCGGCGCTCTAGTTTTCGGATTTAAAGCGGTGACGTGACGCTTGCGAGACCTATCCGCCTTCCCCACGTGACCGCCTCCATCTCGTCACATGTGATCGGATCCCTTTCCTTGCTCGCAAGAGGGATGGAGGACCGGTGAAGTTGACAAATGATGAATGTAAGCGGGAATGGCGTTCCTGTAAGGTTTCCGATAGGGAGCGGGATCACCGCTTCCCTACTACTTCCGGTGACTTCCTAAAATATCGTTGCCGGAGTGGGCTCCAGCAATTATGACAACCCGCTCGGAGTATATGGGAATGGTTGCAAAATAACAATCCTTGACCGAAATGCTCCTCGGGGGGGGCGCAGCGAGGCAGACAGAGAGATGATGAAGCGGTTAACCCATCACCTCTTCAGTTTTGCCTCTCCCGTGTTTCACCGGGTCAACAGACATGATTGATTGGACTCCTTGATCAGTTCGAGGTCCCTGGGCCCGGAAACTGGGAAAATATGGGGAGAAGCGAAAAAAAAGACCATGTGAGAAACTTCATGCTTTGCGTGAATCGTAACCCGGCGAGTTCGTCTAAAAACAAGCAAATGAGGTGATCATGCTTCCATTCAACTCTTGCTTTACGGACAGAAACAAGAAGGGATATTATACCGCAAAAAATACGCATCCTGTTTGGGGCTATGAAAAAAAAAACTTTATTTTAAGAAAGCCAGATTTGTAATCGTTTGTATCACTCAGAATAAACTCTAAAATCAAAAGTTTTGAAGTCTCGAGTTTGTTTGGGTAAGGAGCAACAGTCTTGGAAACTTTGATGAAATAAATTCCGCTTTTCGAGAGGCATCGGCATCTAAAAAAAATTAATGCGTCCCATTTTTTGCCAAAACGCCTGCTTGTTCTGGCATTCTTATTGCAATGTCCTTGACAGTGCAGTATCATCGTGTATCTATTTAATCTCACCCGAGACAGCATGCAATCAAGAATACTACGACGAGGACGTGGCACGAAAAAGCAGCGTTTATGGCGTCAAAGGTGAGAAATAATTTGAGCAGTGCTGAAACTCCACTCTGAATGATTGTCGCTTTTTATTCAGACACTTGAACTTTTCAGGAAACAAATTTTGTAGTGCTTCCAAAGTGATACGAAAAACCGAAATTATCCGCAACCGATTTCATTAGGCGTCAAACGGGACATTTTCTTGCGCCACCCGACATACAGGGTGATCCATAATTTAATATATAGTTGTCGGTTCTTTTGTGCACAGGTTGTACCTGAATGAAAATGGCTGAACAGCATCGTAAGTACAGCAAAACTCAACGCATCAACATAGTGAAGCGGTTGCATAAATAAACAATAATTTCAATACATTGCAACCGCGTACTAACTCGTGGACCACCCTGTATATCGGAGGGTTCGCCTTCAGCAGTGCCGTAGGTGTTGCAAGTCCTCTGTCATGCGCCGAACCTGAATCCATGAGGAAATGCTCAGTTTCGTTGCATCACGGTTTCCCACATTTTATATAAATTGGTGCTCGAAGGATACTAGCACCGTGGGATTTGAAGGGAGAAAAGCGATTCCGACGTCTGCCATCTCCATGGAGCAGATGATGAAAATGTGGAAACCGCTGCCGAAAGTGGCTTGAAGGGCAAAGGAAACCCTGCGAAAACTCGGTTTTATTTTACATGAAAAAAAAAATCGAATTCCACCGGCTATGGGGTGCCTCTGACTTCATTTCAAAGAGTTTCTCGTTGAATTTCCCTGTGGGAAACGCGTCCTACGTAATAGAATAATAATAATAATAATTCCTACGTAATAATTTAATCATAATAATTTCCTTGGGAGCCCCCAATCTTCCTTTTTTTCCCCTGATCAACGATGGATGGGAAAAAACTGGAAATGAAGCAAGATAGGGAGCAATGGAAACTGCGTCGCGAATTTTCTGTCGGTTAAAGGTTTAGATGTGACCTTTGTCCGTGGAGACCAACGGTTCCATTTTGGCGTTTAGATCACGAAAACCTGAACAAGAGAATAATTTCCCCCGACCCGAGATTGCCCTTTTAGATCGGGTGTTTCGAGTTTCGGGGCATATTTCAAGCTTCACTATTTTGCGCGGACCTAACAATGAATTTAAAATTATAATAATAATTAAAAAATGTGACTTTTCGTTGAAGTCAGTCGAGGCCTTGATTGATTCTCTGAAGGATGGCGTAGACGATATGATGTTCATCAATTTCTACGCGTAAGCGCTGCATGCCAGAAGGTTCTAATTTCGCCGTCAGAGCGTTTTCGTCCTCGCATCCGTCATTCTTCCGGCAGACACATTTGATAGGTACTCGAAAAAACATCATGACGAGACTGATGAAATCTTAGCACGCATCCAGAGTCCAAAGACCGACAAAAAAATCACAGGTCTAGACGGAACAAATTCTTTTTTGACAGGCCTCACCTATGAATTTTCCCGTCGCGGCGTCGCGTACGCATTCGTAGGCTGTCGCATTCCCCCCATGCACCGTTACCAAACCTGTTCCTGTGGGAAACGTAAGACCACCCTGCGTCTATAACAATTCTAACGAGGGCATTTAGCTACCGAGGAGCATAGCCATTGCAATCCCATATCGTTTCCGGATTGCCTTTTACCCAACCACTCCCATTCCCTCGCGCCGTCATCGACGATGCCAGAGAGACACCAAACAATTGCAATCATTCTCACGAAGGGACGAGCTAAGCGGACGGAGCGACATCCTCTTCCGAGCTGCTAATTTCCCATAAAGAAGTTAGGAGCACGCGCAAACGGGAACATTCATCCGGAAACGCTGCAACAGTCATTCGCCTATTGTCCTCATCGCAACCTCAAACCAGATGTCTTTCGAATCGATTGCAGAATCATGTATGGGGTCATTATGAACCGAACAAAACATTTACCTTCGGCCATTCAAGGGCGTTCTGGTCCGCGATGAATATGACTCATTTCGAAAAGCGAACAGTCATTCCCCACAAATAAAAACAAAGATTCCATATCTCTGCTTCATTGGACTGGATTTCGAGGACAGAAGAGCCATCTGTGCAACCATCGCTTATTAGGGCATTTATTGCACTTTTCCCATTGGTAATAATCGATCAACATTATATTTATTGTACATAAAAAATTCTAAAACTTATTAAAGCATATCAAATTGGAAGAAACATTTTAACCAGCATGCTCTTGGTTGAATACCCATACCTTTTAAATTCAAACAGCATTTTCTCATTGCAAATACTGTTTTCGTGCACCCAAGAGCCATTAAGTCGTGAATGAGACACTCATCAATCATCGTGATACTATTTTTCAAGCACATCCCAGAGCACCCGTGAATCAAAAATCAAGAACTTTTAAACATAATAAATGACTTTTGCCTGATAAATATAGTATAAAGGAGTAAAGTCGAGGACAACCTGACCGAGACCTTAGCACCCGACGGAATTATCACAAACCCGGTGCCGACTCCCCCTAGCACGCACACAGTCCCTCGCTGGCCTTGAGCGCATCCGCCGACTCCAGGGACCGCCGCACCGAGATCACGTCCGCCGGCCTCATCGCGTCCTCGTTCAGGTGGAGGTTGTACTCGGGGAGCATGGGCCGGGAGTTGCGGAGCTTCACCGCCAGCGTCAGGAAGATCGACTCCACGTGGTCGCTCTGGCTGTCGTCCTTCGCCGAGGTCTCGAACCACTGGGGACAAAAGCGGGGGGTCAGGGGATGTTTTAGCGTTTCAAGTACGCACGCGAGGGTGGGGATCCGAGGCTTTCGTACGGGCATGTTGTGTACGTCGGCGAATCTCTGGGCCCTCTGAGTAGAAATCTGGGAAGTTTCCTTGCAGTCGCACTTGTTCCCTACCAGAATACGAGGGATCTCGTATGTAAGCTGATGCTTGTTGCACTCCTCTATCCAGGTGGGCAGACTCTGGAAAAAAAAAGGCAAACAGTCCCGACTGAATAATAGCTTTGATACTTGCGAGAAGAATTACTTCTATTATCCGTATGAAACCGACCTCGAAAGTCTGAATTTTTGTGATGTCATACACGAACACTACGGCATGTACATTCCTGTAGTAATGAGGAACCATTGACTTCCGGAAACGCTCCTGCCCGGCGGTGTCCCATAGCTGAAGCTGTGAAAATTAAGGAGAGGAATTTATTCATTAGTTACAATACTTTTCTAGTCATGGACCTAAGGTTAGGCCACGAAAGTTCATGAAAATTATATCTCGATTATGGAACTCTATACATCGTTCAAAACCCTACACTATTCAAAAAATACGAAATTACTCATCATGAGTGAATTACAGCACTACTCTTAACATTTCACTTTCAATAGATATACATAACACGTTGGCAGCCAGGGCGCGGTTCAAGTATCTACATGCAATTAGTGTACGATGGTGGTAATAATATACTTGAGAAGCAAGAGCTGAGTTTAGTGAGCAGTATTACAGGGTTATACTTTCGAATGCAACTGAGGGACGGACCCTCAAAGTATAAATACAAACGCTGCCAACTGGTAAAAAAAAAAAAATTTTTCATCAATTAATCGGAAGCCATTAAATCGTGCCCCTAAATTTCTTCCCTGAATGTGACGAACGAAAGATGAATCACCATTCCGAGTTACTTCTAAGCGGTCACTATTGTCTCGTGAAGCCCCCATGCGTGCGCGGTATCAGATCGCCCCGAATGGGAGAATCCCTGGCTTTGGCTCGACCTCGACTAGGATGTCAATAAGGGCAGAAACGCCCCCTGGCGTGCCGGCCTGGGCCTTGAACCTTGGGCATGATGGGCGCAAGGGTAGGGAAAAAATCCATGCCTGTTTTCCTTCTGTGTCCCGACAGCTTCCACGGTGAGATAATAAAAAAAAAAACACCAGCAGGTCGCGCAATCGTGAGAAGGGTAAGCTTGATTCTCGGTCACCTTTCACGTTCCCTCTTGCTTCCTTCCGTCGCTTGACAAGGACTCACCCTGATCACTCATGATCCTGAAACCGCATTTTACATTAGGGGCACTATCTCCTGCCTCTCGATTGCGTCACATCTTAAACTTGGCAGCTCTGTCGTGCTTGGGAACTACGGTTTCCTCATGGTTTCTTTGATAGCTCGGAGGAATAGCCTCGCGTTTAGAGTGGCTGTCACACCAAAACAGATCGAGACGGAGCGTCCTTTTAAATGCAATTATATCTCAGTGTTTTCAATGAGATTACAACAATGAAGCGAAACGGGGCAGAACAGGCAGGAAGGAGACTTCTTCAGCCATTTCATAGATACGGATGCGAAAAGCACTCTCGTACTAAACACGGATCCGTCCAGATAAGGGCGGAGCTGTGTGACATAGCATGTGGTAGAAAGAGATTCAATTCAGGGTACGGGCATAAATCGCCAGAATTTTAAAAGACTCAATCCGACTCTAAACGCGTTGGTGTGAGGCCATCCTAAAAATATAATGCTGGCACAAGTGGAAAGGTTCATCCAATCCAAGTCTTCCCCAAACGGCACGCTTGTGCATCTCCAATTCATGCTTACGGACGAGACTGAAACGAGCAGAAGTGGAAAAAAGAACTCAGACATGTGAGTGCCAAAGTCTCAAGTCCAGTGCCGGAGGGAATTAAATGAGCCGATTCTCTCCTTCCCTCCTTTCCCCTATCTACATTGCCGCGTGCTCTTACACTCTGCCTGTTGTCTGGATGTCGAAAGAAACCGGATGGCATTCACTTTTGCCCTGCCCTTGTCCTCATGTTCAATGCCAATAATCCTCCCATTCAAGTCTACCCGATTCCATGCACGTATTGTGGCAATGCTGGGTGGCAGCAACCGCTTAGAATTAATTTCAAACTATCATATATGAATGTTTTCTTTTCAACATCCTCATGCAGCCATTTCATTTTGCATTATTCTGAGTGTTGCATTTGTTATTCAGCAAAAGAAAATTTGTATGAATAGTAAACAACAAAAATAAAAATGATTGCCTTCTTCAAGCCGTTCAATCATACAATTCAAATAATAAAAGCCTGCCCAATTAGAATGCAGTGGTTTCTTGCTGTGCTGCAATAATTCTAGTAACTGATTTTCTAGACAACGGACATAGCCTTTGTTCTTGCTACCAGGGAGTCACATGGCTACTGAAACCCACATAGGCATTATACCATGTCAGTCATCATTTTTAAGGGTAAGCCTTGGTTTTTAGCAACATGGTGTACAGCAGATACAAGCAACATTGAAGCATCTGAGACTAAATAAAACTAAGAACAGGGTATTATATGCAAGCTTGACACATTAGCTGCCATGAGAATCACCAATGATGTTCAGCAGCCAATGTGTTTCTTCTATCAGCAGGAAAGGTTCCAGGTCACTTAAGGAGGTTCCTTTCCAGCAGAAGGAAGGGACATATTAGCAGCAAGTCATCAAAATGCAAGTCTGTTGAGTATCACCAATGATCATCATGACAGCCAAATTGTTCAACTATCAAAATGATTCCTGTCTTGTGTCATTGGCCATCACTTGAATATGCAAATACAGGTCATCAACTGAACTTCTTTATGAACCAAAGTTAAACATTAACTTATCTCAGAACCTAACATTAAAGATTTCATCTGTCCTCATATTAAGACAGGAGTAGTTCCCATATCCTCCTGTAGAAAGCTACCCACTCATTCATATGGTACATGAGCTCTCCATCGTCCTCATTGTCCCTTCTGTTTTGGTCCTTCCCTTCTCTTTCATGACCAGCCTTATTTTTCTTTCTATTACTATGCCCTTCTGAGATGTTTTGTATTGTTCTGTAACTAATCTCTCCCAACATATATAGGCTAGCATGTACTGTACAAAAATTAATGTTCCAAATATGAGATTCAATGCCAAAACCTAGGCATATTAGTCTACTGTGACATTCAGTAGGCTACAATCACTATGCATGAGGTAAATATTAATCAACAGATGACTGAGAACCAATCAACATCAAGAAAATTATGTTCTCACCTTACACAAGTCTCGGAGAAGTTTTTCAAATATATAATATCTCAGACTAAGTTTACCTGCCTTCTTTTATCATTTGCAAAATGGATCAAATTGTTCTAGCCTACATAATGAAATTGTATATCAGTGTGTCCTAAGTACGTAAGCAAGTACTTTTACAATAGGAAGAAGCTTCCTCTCTCAGAAAGGAAGGAAGAAAAAGCCAAAGAAGTCATAAAGCATCTGCTCACAGTCCTGTAGATGAAACCACACCAAACACTGAGTGAATATTCAGGACAGCCCTAAACCCGGTTATTCCCAATCAGCCTATGTTGCTCTTATATCCTGGGCAACTCTTGACATGTTTTCCTACTTTGGGACCATTGCTCCTGCAGGGATCTTTTGATATTCCAGAAAACCATAGTTTTCTGAACTGCGCACAACTCAGTTGAAGGGGGGGGGGGGGGTCCCCTACCTATGAAAAGAAGCAAGAGCCAGGACTGAAACCCATGACAGTAGGAATAACCACCAATATGTTCACACATATGGAGGGGCACAGATTAGGCCTACACAAGTGAAGATATAAGACACCTGTCACACATCAGACTCATCTATGCATCCCTGAGGCCATTCCTGGAAGGGCTACACTGCAATCCTGGATACAGCTAACTCAGTTCCAGGCTGCCCTGACTATAGGATTACATAGACACCCTCAAGCACAAAACAGACCCTGGGAAATTGGCCCTAGCTCCCTACATTTGATTTGAATTTAGATGTGTTTAACAGCTGCTTTGAATTATTTTAGTCAATGGTGGGCATAGGCCTTGGTATAAGACAGCCCTGAGTTAGAACATGGCTTACCTTTATAGGTTCACCGTTGACCAGAATCACCTTTTCCCTGAAATCCACTCCGATTGTGGCTTCAGTTTTGCTGGGGAATCTGCCATTACAAAACCGAAAAGTCAAGCAAGTCTTTCCAACATTGGAATCCCCAATCACAATAATCTTGAAAGTCTTCGTCGGCTTTCCATGGGAATGTGACTTAGGAACATGGGGCTGAGACTCGGTCCTCTTCTCCGATTCAACTCCAGACGATCTAGCTGCATCTTTCTCCCGAGCAGGAGCTGCCGGTGCAGCGAAAGAGAGGGGCTGCTCTTGACGACCTCCTTCCGCCGCCACCAAAGCCATTCTTCATGGGATGACGTAGGTGTCGTTAGTGCAGACCATGCTTCCCTTGGAAGCACGAGTCTTCAGAAATAAATATTCTTTTGAATTCTAGGGCTAGGAATATATTAGCCTACTACATCGTTGAACAGCGACAGGAGTGTGTTAACGTTAGATCTTGAGAGTGACACGTCAAACCTCGTGCTAATCACTGCACCCCCCCCCCCCCCCTTTTTTTTTTTACATAACTTTATCAAGAGGTTAGATGCCTTCATAGGTAAGATTTAGGGGGAAAGGAAGCAGTACCGCTGTCGGTAACTAAGGAAGCGATCGAGATGCTCCCTCGAAAACCATCATTCGTAGAAGGGTAGGACTTTCCCAGAATTAGAGGAAGGGGTCAGGATGAGTGCTCGACCTCGACTCAGGATGTCAATGTGAGCAGAAATGCTTCTTGGCGCCCCGGCCCAATCCTTGAACCTTGAACGAGGCAAATCAGGAAAAAAAACACCCACCCTTGCCTCTCCCACCATCCTGTCGAAATCTGCACACAGGTTCGGCTCGAGCGAACGGAAGCGTACGGTTATTCCGATCCTAAAAGAGAGAGAGAGAAATCCCACTGGCCCTCATCATACTGCACCTGTAGAAGCGGTGCCCGGGTAGCATTACTCGAATGGAATTCCGCACTCGGTCGGCACTGGACTCCACTGGACCAAAGCGTTTCTTCCACCACCCACGGTGAGAATTTTCTGTGAAAAGAAGGGCGCTTGACCCGGACAGATATATTACTGTTGTAATCTTCATTGACCCAATAAGAAGAAAAAGCTGACTCCACTCCGGTCGGTAAACCGGTCCGTTTGGATATAAAATTCCGTGTTGGCACGGTTCCACGACATGCGCACTTAGCTTATGTGACTCTTTTTTCTAGGAATTTGAATTGGGTGTTGGCCCGAAAGGGGAATGCGAGGCCTGAGATGATTACTGGGATTTCTCTCGATTACGTTTTTTATTTTATTTCAGGAAATGCCCTTGAGCCGAGGATGAATGGTTACCGAACAGGGAGCGATTCGGCCGCTTCCCTCTTGCCACCTGCGGGGAAAGCGATCGTGCGTCGCCCCGTACAATGCGTTTCGACGTCACGGGTTCCTTGCACGGATGATTCCATCTTTGGGACGGACAATGCGAGTCATTTATGGGGGGCTGGGGCCCTTGGAATCGGACGGATGGGGTTTCCGGTTGGGTCGGCTTTATTGGGGAGGAACGAGGTCGGGAGGCGAAGCAACTCTTTATTTGTCTTCCCTTCGTCATTCTCAGTTTCCAACCCATAAGCGAACGCGTGAGTCTTTCCCAGTACGCTGCTTTTGTGCTGTCATCGATAAGTTCTAATTCTGTCTGGTTTTGGGTTTAAGAAAGACAGAAAAGTGGGAAAGGAGTTTCTTCCACTGTCGGTAGATGGCGCTGTAGCGGCGCGGCCTGATACCCTTTTTCATTTCCTCCCTTCCTGACAATGCTATCGAGAGGAGGAGTTAATTTCCCCCAATTCTCACTCTTGAACGTCCCGAATCCCAATTAAATCAAACTCTTTGCCTCGTTTGCACGGAACGGTGAAAGCGCAGGAAAAAGAGGAATGGTGGGATGGGGCACGATGGGAGGAAGGAAATACGGGCGATGGTCACCGGGCCAACCTGGATCATAAACTTACCTGGCCGGGGAGAAACGATGATCACCAAGGTCGTTCTCCCAGGGTGAGGCTCTTCCATTGCACTCCGGCTGAGCTGACCCCTGTGACTGCCCCAAATGTGGGTAGGTCAACGGCGATATTTTTGCCTTTGGGGAGTCTGCGTTCGCGCGGATTCCCTCACGATTACCTAGAACTCATTAGGGAGTGCTAATTGCTCGTAGAGTGTACCTCAATTAGTGGGGTGACAGTATCGGAACGCGAGGCCGTATCGGCCTCCCTTATAAAATCCATGGCATGCCACTGCCACATGAAAGGTCGCCGAAAAAAAAATTTGACTCGGACGGAAACACATAAATCGTGCAGCATCCTCTCCCTTTCATCGGATTATTATCACCTTCGAATATCTCGACATAATCCGAGATTTCAGATTTTTGGGAGTGGAGCCCCATCGAAGGCTATCGAGGGAAGGCGTGAAGCACGAACAGCTTCGTGCTTCAGGATGGGAATGCCGCAGGAATGTTAATTGAGTATTTCACACGTGGTTTCGAGTTGAGATGCGTGGCGATCTGGCCTTCGAGCTGAATGCCGTGAAGATGATGGAACCCATCAAATTATAGGCTCATGATTTCAGACGACAGCTATCTTCTTCCCACGGAGATTCTAAGAGGCGTTACGGAATCCTAATTAGTTGCGGCTTTTCTAAAAAGGCTTCACGGATGGCCTAATCCAGGATGAAACTTTTGAAACGTAAGACTTATCGTACGAGTTTGGTGGAGAAACCTCAGGGATTTCTGCGAAAGATTCCGAATCGGCGCGCCAGCATTGCATGGCCTTCTTGACAATAGACTCCATGCCCGACACTTCCAGGTACTGGACGACATCGAACGCGCCAGCATGGAGGCCTTGGTCGACCGTGATTCAAGGTAGGGCGCGGGGAGAGGGGGGGGGGGGGGGGAAGAATCGAATAAGCCCGAAACTGGAGGGAGGGGATCCCCACATCAGTGTGCGTCGAGAGGGCATGCAGTGAACTCCTCACACGTTCCGTCTCTCTCCTCTCTTCGGTCTCTTCTTCTACGACGCCATGCTTCTCTTACCTGTGAGTTCACACGCTCTGTTTAATGCCTTGCAAGTTCCTATCCTTCATATAGGATGGAATTTGGCTCGATTCACGAAGTTTGGGGAAACTTCGTAAATTGTGCCTAAATATCCTGCAAGTTATCCATACTTAATGGCTGATTAGCATTCGTATCAAATGGATTTCAAGGATCATATCATATTTCTGACATTACTTTTCATAGCTTACCTGTTTTAGTATATTCTCTCGTGTTCTGGGCTTGTAGTCATGACAACGCGTACATCATGTTCTCTGGTTAAACGGACGCGTGTAAGCCAAAAATATAAGGATATTTCTTTGTTTATCTCATTTCCAGTGTAAAATATCGGTCACCCTCAGCGTTGCCATGTTTGCGCCTTAAACAATTTTCTAGCAGAAACACCTGAAAGTGCGTCCAAGAATGTACGCGTATTTGCATGCGTGATATGTTCTCAGGTGTTTTTGGAAACCAGGATTTTCTTAGTGTACTATAATAAAAAATGTACTACTGAAAGTACTGCAAAAAGTTTTTCATTCGAGTAATATCGCTGTCTTTTTTCTTCGAGGCAGCCACCTGATAAACATATATTTAAAAAAATATAGAATTGTGCAATTTAACCACCTCTCCTGCACTGCACCTGACCTTTGCTTTTGCTACAACCATTTTATTACCTTTCCTTAGCAAACCTGAACCCTTTCGCAACGTAGTTTCCCTGAATATTGTCAGTTATTTTTTCTATAAATAATGGCAATTCTATGCAAAAAATGAAATTTGATTTATTTCATGCTTTATATTTTACGCTAAAATTTGGTTCTGGTGATAGGTTTCGATTGTGTAATGGAAATGAGATCCGTTGAGAAACTGGCACAAGGCTGTCAAAAAACAAAATGAAAGTATTTCAACGGTTTCGACTGTAGTCGAACGTCGCAGCAAAAGGGTTAAACATTTCAACGTTATGCGCTGAAACAACGATTTAGAGACTGGCTGAGCATCTGGAGAAGCCAAATCCAACTTCAAGTTGGCAAATCTGGCAACATTGGTCATCACATCTGAAGTGAATCTAAATCAGGGATGTCCAACTGGCGGCCCGCGGACCAGATCCGACCTGCAAATTCATTTTCTCCAACCCTCTAATTCCTCTCTAACAGTAGATTTCGGAAAATTGATGCAAATTTCACTTGTTCGCATTAAAAATGTGGTGTGAGGTTTGTTATTGAGGTCTCCAAACACACCCGAACCAAATCATTTGATCCGCGCCAAATTTAGTTGGACACCCCTAATCTAAATATCTGACGTCAATCCTTCTGAACCGACAAAGGGCGAAGGCATCCGGGATCTCTGAAGAAGGCGGGGCACGGGAGGGGTAGCGGGATAGGCCCACAAGGTAGGGTGTATCTTGATCCTCATTGGGGTCAAGGATAAGTAATCTCATTTACGTCATATTTGTATTCTCGCACTTCCGCTTCCGATCCAGTTTCGCCTCGCTCGGGCCTCCCGACGGCAGGGTGCGATGGGGTCGACGAGAGCGTGTCGACCGAAGGAGTTCGATCGGAGAAATCCATTAATTTTATGGGGATTCGAGTATTGCGAAAGGGATTAGAAGAGCCTTATTCCATCTCGTGAATTCCCGGGTGCAACCCTGGATTTTAAACTGGAGTTCCTGACCATAGTGCCCTCCGACTGGCAGCGTCATGCACATTCATGGCCCCAGCAGCGTTTCTAAATAGGGAATTCATCGATAGGAGGGAGTTGAAAACGCGGAACGAAAGTCACGCCAGACATTGAAAAGCTCTTTGGTACATCCTGTAGGTCACACCAGAAAAAAACTCTTCCACTTTCTTGTCATTTTCTGTTCTCTCTCCTGTGAACGTCAGAAACCGCAGATATTATTACGTACGAGCTCGAGTGTGACAATAATGTCCCCCTCGCGTCATCCCCCTTCTTCCGGTGTCTTTCGTTTCCGATATTTGAGATTGCCCGGAGATTTTTAAAACTGTCGGCACTTTCTCTTCGAAATTTCACAAGAAACCTTGATTGCCTTTGCGGTTTTATGCGAATGAATGAAAAAGAAATAAAGAAACGAAGTGGAATTATTTCAATTTTCAATCTAATTAAAGAGATTCGATTAATAAAATATGGATGAACAAAGCTTAAACAGCATAAAACGTTCTAAAATTATTATGAACCATATAATAATATAAACAATAATCAAGTCAATAACCGCGTGATGTTTGTAAAATGAAGGGGTTCATAGCCCAGTGAATTCAATTTGACCTCGTAATTTAGTATAATTTACTGAATCGGGATTTGAAATTGAAAAGGTCACCGGGGGGGAGAAGGGGACGGCACGAAGTCGGAGAATGTAGGAAGTCTTCAGAATTCACGGTCAAGCGAAGAATGCTGGAGCCAGAGGGGAGGGAGATGCCGTTTCTCAAGGTTACGGAAAGAGGAAGCACTCATTTCTGTTTTCACGGCCGCTCGCCTGGTTTGTCTTCACGATTCCTATTATCGTGATCTCCGTTAATTATTCCCAGGGAAAGCCAGCGGGTGTTTTACTTGACTATGAATGGCACCTAGCGGAAATCCACCCGAGGTGGTCATACAAAAAAAGATGCACGATCCGAGCTTAAATTGAATAAATACTGCCGATTCCTGTCATTTTCTTGAAGACTAGTAAAAGATAAGTTAGATATTCGAGTCCTTTAATTTAGATCTGGCAAGTAGCGTGGAATGAAGGCCCTCGACCTTGACGTTCGAGGGGGAAAGGAGGGGTGAAGGGAGGTGGCATAATAATATCCCATCGTAATCACGAATGAATGCCGACAAAGGGGGTTGCAGGAGTCAGATTTCCATTCGACCGTCAAGATTTTCCTTCTTTCCGCTCCGTTTATACAATCATCCATGGCCACTCTTGGGAAAAAATCTGGAGCTAGCCCCAATCTCCCTGTCTAGTCGCATCACCCAGCGATTGGGGGGAAAAAAGAATTAATGGATTTGGATCCAAAGTTTTTCAGGGTCGTTTCCCGAGGCCACGCCCATCACCATATTGCATACTGTCGGATTACACCGATGGCCATGTCCTGTGTCGGTGAAAACCTCAATGCCATCGCGGACGTTTTGTGCACGATCTTTTCTAATCCCCACCTTCTTCCCAAAGAGAAGCCGGAGGAAAGTAAACATGATTTCGGAACCCTCTAGTTGATTCTCAGTCGACCGTGATTTCTTCCTTTTAGAGGGAAGAGCTTAACAAGGCACCAAACAGAAAGTTCCCGACTTCCGTGGCGTCCTATGTGCATATGGCCGTGAAAGTAGACAATGGAGTCGAGACCTGGCCCTTCTACGGATTAATTTCAACTGCTCTTGATATATCAAGATACATGGCGGAAGGGCACCATAATGGTTTTACTTAAACTGAGCTAGTTTCATAAGGAACTCATATGAGAATGGATTTATCTGTGTCCATCTCATTCACATGGACATTGTGAAATCAGATCAGATAAAATGTTTTGGGTCTCGTGAAGGTCTCTCGCTGACTTTGACGGTCCTCATTTCCTTCGTTTCGTTCCCCTCTGCTTCCGAGAGATTGAGAGAAGTGGAATTCCTGTTCGTGTTCGCGTCGAATGTTCAAGGTGAAAGGGGCAGTGACTTCTTCCTAACGTCAACCCTAGCCGGAATCCATAGACGGCCCTGAAGAAGGGGCTCCTTTTTTCATGAAAGCTCTCAAGGCCGACTCTCACGAGTCACGCCATTTACAGCCCATTGTGGCTCTCTTACCGATCCCGCAATCCGTTTAGTATTCCTTCTCGCTCTCTTTTTCTCCGGTTACTTTATATTTTTCTATTGCTTTCACATTTCCTTTGTCGTAAAAAGTAATTGGTTTTATTTGCTTTTGTTGGGACAATTTTACAGTGTTTTATTGGGTTGCCACCCTCGAATTTAACCAAATATGGACGCTTGGAATATGATAAAATATTTGAAGTACACTTGCGTGTGAGGCTATGCTGCAAATCCCCACAGCCACCTTGAGCCAAGGCGCCAATCGATACTTGAAGAGTGTGACCAACTGTTTTTACGTTCGGGAAAGAGCGGTTTAAGCTGATATTAAGCTTCATTGATTCAAAAAATCGTAACAAGTTTGAATTATGAACAAAACAGTCCATGTTAAGACAAGTTTGCAGCATGGACATTGCATGTGAAATATGTACTGTCCATACTAATTATGAACGAATGGCAACTCTAGTTCCACAATGTAATCCTACTCGTGGATCGGCAAGGCCGGATTAGTTCTTTCTCCAATAGTTGATTTCCACGAAGTTGTTGAATGCCATAAATCCTGTAAGGACATGCACCCCAGGGTTTCTCCGGAAAAGGACCTTCATGTGTTTTTAATGCCTGTATCTTCCACTCCCTTTTTTTTTTTTTTAGGCATTGTGGCAGTTGGTGGGAGTACTCGGGATGATGGAGGCTGTGTCAGCCGCGAGGCACAGCGTCCTTGTGTCCCGAGGAGGCCGAGCCATTGCGGACTACGCCATTGGTTCCTCCAAGCCCCAACTCCTGGGTAAACGTTCAAAATACGTATTTAAAAGAAAGGGAAAAGTGTCAAGAGTCCAATTTGCATGTCGTTTTGACGCTTCCGGTCGGACCCATTGTGCGGAAAAAGGGAACGAGGAAAACCGCGAAGCTTTCGTCGCTAACCGTTGCGAAACGTAGTGCAAGAATTCGATCAGCCAGAAATAATTTTGTCGCCTGTCGGCTCCGCAAACGAGCGACCGAGCTGGAAGGAAAGTATGGTGTGATAGGTATGTCACAGATGATGTCAGCCGTGTGGGGAGAACGTGGGGAGCTCAGACACGAATTTCATGCTCTTCGACCATACTTGAATGACATCATATGATTGTAATAAGAAATCCCCATCGTCACTCCCCTCACCCCTCTCCCCTTATGTTTATATACCGACCTCAGATTGTGCCCTTCGTCGGCACCAATCAGATCAGGGTCGGATCCCCGCAGGGATTTTCCGTTCCTCGTATTTTGTCTTTTCCGTTTTCAAGTCTCGACGAAACGGATTAATGGCATTGAGCAATCGAGAGGACACGCGTGGACGGTCGTAAAATGTTCCCGCGTCCTCTGGTGTCTCAACAGTCTCTTTATTCGTGTTTACATGCGAAGGGTGACAGGCAGACTCTTTTTCTTTTCCTCCGTACGATTTTCGGCGATACGGTGATTATTCTCAGTGGGCTTTCCTGTAGCTTGACCCGAGCATCGTATGGGAATTTTGCGGGGGATTGCATTTTTCCATTAAAAGGATTTAAAGTGGAACACGACGAGACACGATTTGATAAAACTAGTTTCAGGTTTTGAGTTATATCTCGCAGTCGTGTGCTGGTTTTTGTTCGTCGTGAATTTCTCAACGTTGTCGCCGAGAATGTTCAAGGCCACGTAGAATGCAATCGGTCCGCAACACATCACGGTGAGCGTGGCGAAATCCAAATATGTATGCATCTTAGGCACGAACGAGAGCTGTCCGACACCGACAGGGCGATGCCGATCGATCATGTTTCCTTCAGAGACCATTGGCACTTTTGCATTTCTTCATGCAAAAATGAGAAAGCTCGAACCGGAGGATACCGCACGTGATCGTCATTCTGACTCTCGTTTGCCTTCTTTAATATTCGATTTGAGTGCGTCTACATGCCCACTACAGGCGTAATGGCATACTTTGACAAATGTCAGACCTTTACTGTATTTGGTTTGCCTTCTCTGCGAAAATTGCCTCGCTGTTTGGTTTGAGCTCCGGTGACCCGTGAGCCACAGCTCCTCTGGGAGGAAGATGGGAACAGGAAGCCCTGAAGCGCTCAAGATTTATGCGGAGGCACAAACTCTTGCAATTGGGAACAATTTGTACATGCAGCATATAGGCAGCCGGTGTGAGTCGTCGAGCTGCATTCTATCGCCATCTCGATCATAATCGCAAGAATTTCATCGACCGCAAACTCAGCCGAGAAGGCCCTCAGGTGGAGGCGAAGCAGTGTCCTCTTCGCTTGAATCGTCCAATTAGTGACGTCACGGGGGCTTCCCAGACCTTGCCTGCCGCTCTCGCGAATGACCGGTGTGGTTCCGGCACTACTGAAACTGAGAGTACCAGAATCTTTGGTTTCGGGCTTTAGTTAACGGTAGCTGAAAACAACAGTAACTTCACGGTGCGAATGAAGCGGGCAGCATAAGCTTTTCTCGACCCAGAAGCTGAAACCCAATCTGGAACCGTCCGCGCAAGACTTGAATCTCCCTGCGAAAGACTTCCAGCGGGTTTCGGATGTAGGTAGTTTACCGCAATCTGCTGAACACCCAGTTTTGGTGTTTAAAACGTGCTATTACTCTTGAAGTACGGAAGCATTAATTGAGACATTTAGTCAAAAATCGAATGCGTGGCTTGACGGTCTTCAACAACTTAACGGTTGCAGCACGCTTCTAAGTGGCCACAATATTATGAAAACATCAAAATTCGAAAAAATGCCACAAGAATGAGTAAAACTTTAAATATCGGGAAAAATCATTTGATGCTGCGCCCAGGAAGGCTTATCATTCGGAACGTGTACGAGCGAGGAACTAATACGATTGACCCTATTTTTGGACGCCCAGATCGTGACTACCTCTCGCCGACGAGCAGTCATGGCTTCGCATTCGGGAAGGACTTGGACAGCCGCCGACGCTTCCCAGGCTCCTTCATCGAGAACTTCAACTACGATTTCTCCAACATCCTCGACGAAGGTGGGATTCATTTATTATTGATGTTATTATGTTATTGATTTTCTTATGTTGCGGATGTTTGATGCCGAGTCGATTTTCGGTGTTTTTTTGCCGGTCGTTTTCGCATTTGGCGCGGTTTTTGCACGCCTGCCCGTTTCTCCTTCACGGTTTGAAAGGGCGAAAGAAAAGAAAGATTCGAGGTCGGCCTGGAGCGAACGTAAATACAGCTTTGTGTGGGTTTTTCCGCGCCGTCATCACCCGATCGTCGATATTCAATTTCCGAAATTCACCCGTGAGGGACACGATCTTATCGCAATCCTGATAAATCGACGTCTTCATTGTTTTTCGCCTGCCTCGAGGAGCGGCTAAGTACTACAGATTTTTTTGTGGTCGTTCTTGTACCCTTTGGGGGGAAGGAAAAGAACACAAAGAACACACTTTCCCTCCCGTTTTCGCACTCCGCCTCATAATCACGTGATTCGCGATCTCGCCCCCGACCAGGCCGGATTTCGGTACCGAAAAGCAAACCGCGATGCCCCCATGGATACCGTCGATCGAAGGGAATTGAGAAACAGGCCTTCAGTTGACCGGTCATGCACGCTGCGGACCTAGACCCCAAGAACGCAACCTTGTTACGCCGAGTACTCCTGTTGTACTGCGTTGTCCGACGTGCTGGACCCTCGATGCAGAACACGGCAACGGTCAACAGATTGCAAAACTGCAAAAAAAAATGGGCATGGTTTCCGTCCGATCCAGCACGCTGTACAGCACGAGTATGAACTCGCCCTTATTCATCGCCCATTCATTCCGTCCCAAATTAATTTTTTTTAGCTTCCTCTCACGAGTCTGACTTTTAGATTTTTCTTATAGAGTCTTTTTCCTGCTCTATTTCTTTATTTTCAGGTTCACCCTCGATAGTTTCTCATTCCTTTGCTTTCTTTTTTCGTGTTTGATGCACATTTCTTGCGTAGACTCGCAGAGTTGGAGAGGAAAATCAACGGATGAAAGGAGCTGAAGAAGGAAGAAAAAGAATCTGACCGAGCATACTTTCATTATCGAAATTAGTTCTCTCCCTAATTATGATTTTTGATTCCGGGGATGAGAAAGTGAATCTGCAAACAAACAAAAAAGTGAGAGTAGGTCTGATTTCAATACATTGCCCCAGAGGCAATGACAGACAAAAACCCTCTCACTCGTGCACACCGGAACCAAACTTAACCTTATAATTCTTTTTATTTTTCTGCTCCATCGAGCGCGACTCACGACGTCACCAGATTGTGTCCTTTTATCCTTGGAGTCTGCAAATTCACACTCAAGGATTCCCGAGGCGGTCGGCCGAGAAGCATTATGTCATTACGTGGGAGGGAAAAAAAAGCCGTTCCAGAAGACGAATGTCAAGGTTTATTGTGCTGCTATCATAATATAGATTGCATTCCGACGATCCGGTGACTGTGCAGATTCTGAGTCATCTTGTGACCTTGGCTTTCGATGAGAGCAGAGCAGGAATCCCCTGAAAGGGTAGCCGACTGCATTTCCTTTTCTATTCGTTATTTGGGGAAGTGCGTGAGAAAACTTCGCATGCTGTGGTTTCTAAGGGATGCAGAGATGGGGTGACTGGTTTTCAAAAGTAACTTGTTTCTAGAACAGGTTTCATTCTGAAAATTGCAGTTAGTTCCTTTCTCGTTGCTTTTTCGTGACTTTATCGACAAAAACTTTGCCGCTGCGATGTGGCATCCTTATCGGAAGGACCGAAAAGCGTTCGAGGGAGCGGAGCGTGACGCGGGAGAGAAGCCGAGCCCATCTCTCGCTCGTTTCGGACATCCGCGTCGCGCGTGAGCACGAACGACAGAGCGTCCCGGTTCATTATTGAAGATTGCGAGACGCAGTCGAGAGTAACGAGAAGTAGTTGTTACATTCTGCGAAGAAAATGGGACTCGTAACCGGAAATCGTTTCATTTCAGAAAAAGTAGTCGTTATAGTTGCTCGTTAACTAGGGAAGTAAGACGTGGCTCATATTGTGGTTCCCCGATGTGTTATGAAGGTCGCGATGGATTCAAATTTCGAAGGTCAAAGTCTACTCCAGTCGCAAAAACAATATCTCGCGGACAGAAACATTGCAAATATCAAGATACGAGATGCGTATATTAGAACCATAAAATTGTGAACATCATAACATTCATAATATCGCAATTTGTTGACCACGTGGGAAGTTTTCACATGCCTTTCCTCACTATAACCTTGTCAATCAGATTATGGAATTCGAGATCGACAATGATAACCAGACGGTTTCATAAATTTCAGTCGCCGCACTCGGAATGTCGGTCAGGTTTCTTCTTCACGACAGTCGAGCCAATGAAAACTTTTCCTGTCCAGAACACGTTCATCTCCTGTTGTTATAGGAACAGCCCATCTCCTCGCAACCGCAAACAGGGGGGAAAGGAGACGTTTCAATTTGAGACGGAACGCGACGTATATAAATTTACAATGTCACTAGTGGATTATTCATTCCCCATCAAAATGGAAAGTTTCGTCGAGGTCGCGTCGTCGCTAGTGAGCAGCGATGGGCAAGTAACTAGTTACAGTTATAAGTGTTTAACTAAAATGGCGATTAATTGCATGAAAAAGTTGTTGTTGACAGAAAGTAGCTCGGTGAAGTTACACTCGACAAACGGTCACTTCTCGTGCTTTTCCACCCAATCTGATGTCATGTCAAAAAGTAATTATAATTTCATGAAGTCACGATCGCACGAAAGTAAGAGCCGTTTCGCAAAGATCCCGTCGCCTGTCCTCGACCTCCTTCGCCCGGATCCTCCTCTCGGGTCGCGTGCGGGGGGGAGCGGTTCGGGCGTGCGAGTACTCTTCCCTCAGCGGCGAGGAGTCGGGGGGGAATGTGCCGAGACGAAAATTAAAATCGTTTTCCTGGCAGGTTCACGGGGAAGTTATGGCACTGCGAAGCGTTCGTCATTCCGTAGTTGTGCACGAGACCGCTTTCGTATGTTGGCTTCAGCGATCGCTGCTCGAAGGGCGTGTGGAAACCAACGACAGAAGGAGGGAGAAAATATCGTATATTATTGTCATTTGCTTGAAAGACAAGGTACGAATCGGTAGAATAGAACTTAATATCGTGGAAAAAGATTACTCAATATCAGGGAAACGCAATTGTGACAGTAACTTCCGTTCCTTATTCGCCAAGAGGAAGTTTCCGCTGTTAGTCACTCGTGGTAAAATGTAATTCGTTCCGCCTTAATTTAATATTTAAAAATTAGTTATTGACTTAAATTAGTCCTGTTTATTTGATGATAGATGTATCGGCGCTTGAACCGAGTCCGGTGTCAGGGCCAGGCGTCCGGGCGAGCCCAGGGGTCCCGGCCCACATCGCCCGCCACTTCACGCCCCCAGAGGTCCTGCCGCCCTCGTTCGACGTCGACCCCGACCCGTATTACGAGCCGTACGACCCTGCGATCATCGGGTCCCTGCTGCAGAGCGGCCCGTCGTTCGAGAGGCTGGACCACGAGGGACTCATACGGAGACACACGAAACGCAGGGCCGAGAACGGGCTTCCACCGATTCTCCTCGGCTCCATTCGGCCCGGCTTCCCCTTCTTCAGACGCTTTTACTGAATTAATTAAAATTAAAAATTGAAAGAACGATTTCGAGCTCTGGGACGTGCGCAGTATTCGCGTGCACGGTGTGTGTGTCTCTTCCTTCTCCGCGTCGATTCGTTCGAGTTGCTCCGGCGGACGTGACCGTGCCGCGAAGACGCTCAAACGAAGCCATAAGTGACGCAATCGAACTCCCAAGATCACGAAGAACCTCGATGGAGAAACACCCCCGAAATATGCATGCCTTTTCTCTCTCTCTCTCTCTCTCTTCTTCGCGCTCTTCCTCAGACTGAATTTTTGTATTTTTATTTTTAAAATACTGCCAAGTCTTTCATGCTGCCATCAATAAAAGCAGAATTTTTTTTTTGAAAATATTGCGTCCTGATCTTTCTAAAAATTATTTCCTTTTTTGCACGTTACGTAAACACTTGAAATACCTTACACGACGCTCGTTCCCTTCGATTTTCCTAGAAAATAATTCTGCCACCGTGTTGGTTGTTTCCGCATGTTTCGCAGGGCCACCTTTGCCCCCCGTCCACGCTCGAGTGGACGCGGGAGTCCTTGCATCAGCGGGACCGCC